AACACCAAAACAATAAGTAACTGCGCAAAATTTCGAACCACTTAAAGTCAAGATGTCATTTGATCACATCTGATAATGTTGACGTGTTTGAATTTGACCCATGATTTCAAAGACTTGTCATTACTTTGGTAGTCTAGGTAGAAGACTTTTTTTTTTCATGTTTCCTTTTTTAATGTATCTTAGCAGAGAAGGTTCAAACTAGGTTTCAAATCTGTACAAGTCTCAGCCCACTCAGACTCAATCTCACTTGTTAATCACAGCCCCTGACAGACATTTGACTGCAGAGGGAAATATCAATTACAAACCTTCAGTGTGCTGTCTGGCACATTAAAAGGTGAAATGTGGCAGCTTTGAAAAAGGCAGCCATTTTCAGGGCTTAAGAGTAAAAAATTAATAATCGCGCCTGTCACTGTGGGGGAAAAAAAGAAAGAAGAAAGAGAAAAAGGAGGAAATTATAGATGAAAGCCAGCCACAGGTTAGGCCAGGGTGGAAACCGTTTCATTTGGCCCATCGTCTCATCTTCAACTTGAAAGCGGGCCTCTTTTGTTATATTTTATCTCCTCCAACCCTCCACCTTACTCACAGGCCAACTCTTAATTTTTTTTAATTCATGCACCCTCTGAATAGTAATGGTTTTGGTGCTCTTGAGATGGCTTCCCACTAAGGATGGAATCAATTAATCAAGGAAATGATCCTTAAATATGTTCTGGAACACATTTTTTATTGATTTACCATCAAGCAAAGATAAACAATGTGTAGTCCAATTTTATACTGTGCTTATAGGCTGGAGTCATATATTTTAAGTATGATTTTATACAAACCCTCTGACTACAGGCACTGCAGATATTCTCAACATGGACTGCAGAGGCCAGGGGCCTTATTTATCAATCGTGCGTAGAAAAGGTTCTATATTCTTGCGTAGGAATGAAATTTAGAATGTGCGTAAGTACAAAAAAATCCATATTTATCAAACGTGCGGACACCGGTCGTACGCACACACGTAAGTAATCGGTGATGATAAATCCCACCTGTTCTTTACTACCGTGCTCGTGCATGGTTAGAGTCATTTGCATTCAGGAACGCCTCCAATTGACCATATATGGCATCAACAATCCCTTTAAAAATGCGTGTATGAATGTTTTTCCTCCTCCTGGAGGTGCACACTCACAGCGCTATTTTGCAGAATGAATGAGTCGTGTGTTCCTCCAGGCCACCAAGCAACAACGTTTAACAAAATCAAATGTGCATCGCAGATTATTTGTGCATCGATTGAATGAAATCTTTTCCTGTTGACGAATCTGAATTTATTGTGTGAAGGTGCTTTTATTGCGATGTGGGTGCAATCTATGGCTCCAATTATGTTTGGGAATCCGGCGATGGCGTGAAATCCTCATTTTATTTCGGCTTGTTGCTGATGTGTGTATGGGAACTGGATGTAAATTGAGGCCAGAGAAATAATTACATCCAACTCTGCCGGCATGATTCTGTTTAGCGTTGGCTGCGAAATATCGCATATGTCTCAAATCTCATGCCGAAATGTTCGGGTTAGGGTGGACAGGAGCTGGATGTGCGCTGGGATGGCTTTGGTGCGTTTTGTTTCTCGCTCCGACATGGGTAGTAAATCACGGAGTAAATCCATTAAAATGTTTTGGGGAAGCGGTACCTGCTGAGAATCCACTCTGAGTTCTCACTGAACAGATCAGCACGCTCTTTGAAAACGCGCTCCCAGCGGAGGAGCAGACGCTTCTCCAAGTCCTCCAATAGCGCAAAATAAACCGTGATACTTGTATTTGTACTTGTAAGAATTCTTGTGAGGTTGTCCTGTCACAGCAGATTTTTATAGCTTGTCTCACCAATCATTCAAAATGTCTAAATTACTAATTTATAAATTTTGTATAGAGGCAACGGGAACATGTGTGGAGTTTGAGATTGCGGAACACTGTGACTCCATTAATGGGTTCTATTTGTAGTTTTACTGTCCTACCACTAGGTTTTGTGTGTATGCATGGTCAGAGTTGTGCTTAAATTTACGCACGTTCCTAAGCACAAGTACAGGTTGATAAATTCCAGACTTTGCGCAGGAATGTTCGTAAGCACACATCTGTGCGTACGCACGGTTGATAAATGAGGCCCCAGGTCTCCAGCTCTCTTCAGGGAGCAGTACACAATGGCCACCTCAAAATGAAATGGACAGGAAGGTTAAGAACATTTTCAGGACATGCAGAGATTTACCAGACTGGCAAAGATGGCTCTTCAGTGTCTCTTCAGTAACATCAATGCTGTTTGACTGTTTTCTGTTGTGGTGACACATTTGAACTCCTGACTGACACCTGACCAGAGCATATGAGTGGAGTGGAGCGAGGAGAATTTCTGCTCCTTGCTCCCAAGGTTATCTGCCTCCATCGCTCCCTGCTCTAAGTCCCACCATGCCACCTCCCCTATTACCCCTTAGCGCTCAACCAAGATTGGGTCGTGCTCTGCTTTACGCTAGCTTCACATTCTGCTCCCAAAAATATGTGCTTTCATATTTAAAACCACTGCCATGGGATTGATGTTTGGGATTTTTGGATACCGATAAATTTGTTAAATTTGAAATTATAAGCTTGTTGTGCCTTGACTTTTCCCAGATATTTGTTCTGAATGTTTTCTGAAGCTGATGTGATTGTCTGATGAAGCACTTAAGATTTCTGAGCATGTAGTCCTCCAACCCCTGCTGCTGTCACACAGACACACACAGCTGTGGAATGACACATATCTCAAAGGTGATTTTCTTCCAGCAATCTTCTTTTGTTTTTATTTTTAGGCTTCGACACAATGCATTCTGGGTCATGTTTGGGCATGCTTCAGACACAAGGGGCTCTATTTTCGTGCCTCGCCGGAGACATGCCGCAGGCACGGCGGAAGTCAGGTCCGCCGCGCCGACAAGGCGTTCCCAAGCACAATTTGGTATTTTGGTGAGCGGCGCAGCCCGTCGTAAGTATCCCCCCTCCCTAACTCAGCTCCTCCCAGCGGCGTAAGTCGTAGCGAGGGAGGAGAGAGGGCGTTGAGTGGGTTTAACACAGCTAAGACCTGTTTTCACCAATCACATAAGCTCCTCTCCTTGCCTTTAAATCCGCCACCGGCGAGGCGTGTTACTATTTTCGTGAATTAGTCAAAGAGATCAAGAGATGTCTGAAGACAGTAGCGTCCTCCACACTCTCTCATATAAGCACAGACGGATTTGGTGTGTGTAATGTTGGACCCACTGGTAAGACAAACACCCTTTTCCACAAATAAAGACACTCACATAAAGTTGCATATATTCAAACCTCACGTGACAAAGGTGGGTTGAGTATCCATATGTAGGCTTAAAGTAAATAACTCATCTGAGCACTGAAAGAAATCATCTGTTCAGCTGCTGCAGCAGGACGGAGAGAGGACATGGAGGCATGTCCAGGTCGAGCTGCGTGAGAAATAAGAGGAAGAGGAAGAAAGAAAAGGAGGGAGACAAATTAAATATGTTGTTTACTTCATCATGTGTGTTTATTTACTAGATATTCAATTCAATTTAATGCGGTTTCAGCTGTGTTGATTCGGTCAGGTTGTGTGTCCAAACACGTGCCAAACGCGCTCATCAGATCAGATATAGATCAGAATATATCTAAATAGATCTAAATGTATGTGCTGACCCAGATTAATAGTTGTTGTTGAACTGAAATGCACTGAAATGTGCCTGACACTGTGGAAACCTGCCTGTAAGGCATCGATGACGTATACCGATACGCCGCCGGTCGACCAAAATTCCACTAGACCAGCTGCGCTCTACCTGCGCTGAAAGCTGACCAGGTTTGAATCGGCGAGCTTCCAGCGCACTTTACACGCCACTGGCGAGCACGAAAATGTCACTGCGCCCGCTGATTCTTTTGACATCTCCCCCTGCCATGCCACCACGCCCAGCTTGGCGGATCTCGGTGCGCCTCAGTCCACAAAAATACCAAACTGGCTGTACGCCGGGCTCCGCCAGATGAAAATACAACTGCGTGGGGTCCGCCGCCTCACCGGCGTACACGAAAATAGAGCCCATGAAGTAAGCGATAATAGAGGGAAACTGGAGCCGGACAGCACCCTGCTTCACTTTGTCATCCTTGAAAAAAATCCTGCTCTCTCCATTCAAAATCTGCCTACTTCGCTCCTTGCTCGCTTGTGCTCTGTTCACATACTCATGCCACAGGAGCGTGATGATTCTTCTCAATAAGAACAAGCATGCATAAAACTGAACAGTTTCTTCACTGTACAATATTTGAATATGTGTGTTCTCTTGTTGTAGCAACTCCATTTCTAGTTTAAGATTCTCGTCATGCAATCTGTCCGCAGAGATTGCGTTTATGAGCCTGTTCCTCATGTTGACATTCAGTATCATTAACACCTTGTTTTTTTTTTTTTGGTCTTTGTCCTCACATCTTTCATCTATGATTTAGCCTGCATTTATTTTCAGAATCTGCATTTTCTCTCTGAGCATGCCTCTCTTTTTCAGAGTGTACCTTCTTTTGGTAGTACTACAGGCATTTGCAGGACTTGAGCAATCAATAAATAACAATCTTTCCCACTCCATGTCTTTTTTCACCCTCATAATTCCCAACGCAGCCATGCTCTACCTCTGTAACAGAACAGCATGACCTTGTGCTCGATTCAGGAAAGCCCACTCACATTTATAATTCATGTACATCCACTTTTTACCAAGCAGAAATCTGAAAATTGCCATTTTTAGATGTGAGTTGAAGGGTTTTGAGGAAAACAAAGACAGGAAAATTGGACAAAAGCATCATTTGGTGTGCAGTAGCCTCACTTAGAAAGAGAAAAAACTTGTGTCTGCTGCGCTGGAATCCCAGGAGATTTTTGTCAGGTCTCTCCATCACTGTGTACATTATTGCATGACCATACCTACTTATTTATAACTGTAGTTGGCTGGAAAAATTAGATGCAGTAATGTGGTCACCTAGCAACCGGGATAACAACTAATAGCTGGCATAAAGATAGCAATAGGCTAATGTTACTCATCATCTCTTCTCAGTGCAGCATCAGCACACGGTACCTACCTTAGGCTCAAGACTGTCCTTTCTGATAAAGCTCCGCTTAGTTATTCTTCTGTAGGTTTAGACTGCTGGAGTACTGGCACATGAAGCACCTTTCCCTCCTTCTCCATCCTCTTTCTGTCTGTATCATTAACTCTAAATCATCATGTCCTAATAGAGTCGCTAATACACTGTCTTTACTGGGAGTTTCTGAGCTCCATCATGCCATGGGTTCTTCTGGATCACTGCTGTAGACGTGTTGCTGTCATGGATCTGCCCTCTCCACACTGTAAAAAAAGGAAAGGTGGGTGAACTCAAAATATCAAGCAACAAGCTTCAATAAAATTTCAAGTTGGGGGGTTAAACTAAATATTTGAAGTTTTGCTTTTGAGTTTGCTCAACTCTGAATTCCGATTTTTGTCAACTCTCCTGTTAGTTGTACTAACGGGAGAGTTGTTATAACTTTCAACATTTATTTTCACTTACTCTCCTGTAAGTTGTACTAACTTATACTTTTAAATTGTTATAACTTTTAATCTTTACTTCCACTAACTATCCTGTAAGTTTTACTGACTTACACTTTTAAATTGTTATAATTTGTAGTTCTTACTTCTACGAACTCTTCTGTAAATTGTACAAACATTTAGTTTAACATTGTAATAACTCTGAATCCCGAGAGACCAGACTGGCAGCAACCTCTCGGTTCAAGCGCATCATTTGAATTGGCAGCAACGTCTCATTGTTGGCATGGTCCATCTAAAGAAATGCTGTTGCTTTGAGTCCCACAAGCACCTATTTTTAAGAGAAGGATGAGACAATACATTTCAAGCATGAACCTTGACACAAGCTCATTGCTTACTGTACTACTGTCTTCTCTTTCCTGCTCCTTGACTGCAAAACCTGATTAAAAAGTTGCTTCATGCTCAATCACCAGCTGATACCTTACAAAGAGCAACACCTGAAGAAAAGGAGAGAAAGAGATGCAGAAATAGCACCAAACAAAAATACAAGGACACATAACAGCCTGGAGAACATTTTAGCTGCGCACACGCACTGAAATCTTAGGTAAGTAGAAACGTGTTAGATCATCACTGATGGGAGCATTGTGATCTATTCAGGTTTGGTCTCCACATGGACTGTTTTCCTGCATACACCACAGCCTGATGGTATGGTCAGATAATTGGTCAATAACACTGCTGTTGACAGCTGACAGTATTGTTATCATACAGTCCACGGACACTAAAAAAAACAAGGAATTTAAAGGTGGAGTGTTTTCCTCAATGCTGCTCAGTGCATGAGTTGAATCATGCAAGCTCAACATCAAAATAAAAACAGATTGAACTTATGTCATAAAAGAGAAATGATAAAATCAGAATTTCAAACTGCAGATATCTTAATTCCTCATTTTCAGAAAAAAAGGCCCTGTCCTGGATTAAAATTGTGCTTCTGTTAGTTGTCATTGCTGTGGATTGTACATTTGGTTGGTAACATTTCGCTGTCTGCACCTCTGAATCTTCTGTAGCTATCAAGGAGAGGCTGATTCTGTCTAATGACCAATGATAATGACTGAATTCAATACAAAGCTGATGTCATCTGAGTGTATAGAATGCATAAACACATTTCTTCTTGGAACAAACGGGTAAAATGATATTTCATACACAGGTTATATAAATAATCCATCACACACAATAGCACTGTAACCAAGCATTCTGAATAATCTGAGACAATAATAATCACAACACTGATGTGAGGCTTCATCCAAAGCTTTAACAATTTTTTTGACCAAACAAACGTGTGCACCATCAGACAGATTAATGTAACATCAGTTACTGTGCTGCCGGCTACGGTGGCCCTGTGGGAACACCTGGTTAAAAAAGAATAAAAACATACCACACCCTGGAAATTTTGTTCCAACTCAGCCTGCGTAAGCGAGGTTGATCCGCAGACAGAGACAGTCTGATTTAAAATTTGTAATAAATGAATATAACAGTGTCAGCATGGAGATTTATTACATTTGGGTCATTCAGAGGAGAAATTGTTCTGATCACCAAAAGTTCAGAGTGATGATGATTATAATATGCCACAATTTGAAAAAATGTCACTTTAATGGCTTGTGGATTTGTTTTTTTGCTATAAGGCTGATTTACAGACAGAGAGAGCGAGAGAAAGAGAGAGAGAGAGGTGCAATTAGCTCTGAATAAAGACATAAGGAACTATTCAAATTGAGGCTAACATTACTGTCAGGAATATTACCCCTTTGTTCTTTGTGAATAATGTCATTTCTAATTGGCTGAAGTGACTGAATAAGACCCTCACTTCTTATAAAGGCCTGGTACCTGAGGCAGTCAAAACTATGAAGAGACCAGTCCTTCACTTGAGGATTTACTGTACTCTTCATAGGCAGATCACAGTTCCAAACATTATGTATGAAATTACGAAATATTTGGAGCTGAATTTTGACGTGCCCGACTATACACATCAAGCACAATGCGATTTTGCGACTTTCCGGGGGAAAAAAGATGCGTCTCGGGTGGAAGCGAGAAGACTGACACAACAGCAGACAGACTGTTTTCAGTTCTGATTAGACACTAGTGTTGAGATGGCTTTCTATCATGATAGCATGTACTAAGTCGAGGCCAGTACCAGGTTAGCTTACGAGCTAAAGTTACCTAGCACAGATGAAAGTTAAAACAAAGACGTTCAGCAAACTTTAAAGCACACATATGAGAAATCTGACTCTCCTCAAGTTGTCCTTCAGGTCGTTATCTTTGTAATATTTGTGTCTTTTATCAAAAAGCACTCTGTTCTCTGACACGTAAACAATCAGCCGGTCAACCATGTTGGATGTACCGGTGAATCTGACATCGCAACAACATGCAATCTGATCGGTCAGAAGTGGACACAAAGTATGCGAAACTTTAGAAAAATCGACCGTGATCCGAAACAATAAATACCGCAATATCACAGGACAAGAAAACGTCACTGATGTGAACGCTTGTACTGACAGGATACAGGTTTGAAAAAAAAACATTGACATCTGAAATAATCGCATGACAAAAAATTGACAAGTATTCAACATTAATTGAGTTGATTAATTGAGTTAAGTTTGCCCTGATTTGTTGTGAATTTGGAGTGCCTCTCAGAGAAGCCTCTGAGAGCCACTGGCAAAGTACTGTATGTAAACCCAACCCATTTTCCTAATCATCAGCAAACGCCCTCTGTTTGATTAATGTAGTCTTATCAGAAGAGTTTCTGTTGTATTTCGTAAGTGACAAGGGCATTTAAGAGCACAACAATGTTATCAGCTTGAAATGAAAATCCTCTGATTATTTTCAGGACAGATTTCAAGTTATGTTATCCTAATAATGTGTATGGAAGTAGAGTAAAGAATACCATACTCACTTTTTTGAGTAGCATGTTCATCCTCTTTGAAATGACTTTACAGAAAGCTGAGCTCCCTTCCTTTGCTTTTTATTATCCCTCTCCTGTCATGCTTCTCCATCTTCCATCTCTGAGTCTGCCATTGCTCCCACACACTCTGCTTTCACACACACTAATAAAAAAGCACATCTACCCACTTTGTCCATCTGCTGGATGTTGAGGATTCTCCGGCATACTCTCTCAGCCTTTATCTGTGCTATTTCTAGAGGAAGAGCAGTAAGTGAAGGATTGTGAAAGATGATACAAAAGCTTCCGTCTCTGGGGAGAAGAGGGAGAGAGAAGCTGAGGAGAGTTTGTAAAATATGCCCCTGACTTTTCATCTCCCCCTCTTTCTGGCACTCTCTCTCATTCTCCTCCTCTTTCCTGGCTCCTTAAGGGGGAATCTTCATGGGCTTGGAAAAAAAATAAATAAATGCACTGTATCAAATAATGCAGGTACTCTACCAATTCTTCAGCCATCCTCTCTGTTTCTCTTTTCAGGCCTTTTGAAACGCCAGATCCACTCCAGCACATTAGCCGTGAGTAACGTGTGATATATTGTCATAAATGCAGTTGTGTTTTGCTCCTGTCGTGAAAGATTGAAATAACCCAGTGGAGGTCGAACCACTTGGAAGTTCTAGAAAGTGTTATGTGAATTTCTTAACAGAAAATGGTCTTCTGCACATAAAGTACTGAGTAAATTTGTTTGCTTGGCTATTATATGCTAGGTGCAAGACGATAATACAATACACTAAGGATAAGATTCTTGATATTCAAACTGATAAACTTGATTGTTCTTTTGCAAATATTTACTGATGTTAAATTTGATGCCCTCAACACATTTCTAAAAGGTTGTAGCATTGGTGATTATGACCTTTATGTAAATTCATCTCAATGGAAATGTGAAAAATTATTCAGTTAAAATATTAGACTAGAAACACTTGAAGCAGGTAGCACTTCATCCTTGACTTACCTTTTGCACATACAGGTATTCTGCATTTTTCATATTTACGTGGTGCACATAGGCTGTGAACACAAACAGATGAAGATCTTTATGTAGTAAACAAGCCTGCACGATATTGGAAAAAACTTACATTGCGATTTTTTTCAACCCTGCGATATATATTGCGATATTAAAAAATACAGGAATTTTCACCAGATGACCTGAATAGCACTTAATGTTATGCTGCACTGCTGAAATCTTGAGGACAGATAAACCTGCTCTGATTTTACCTCTTCTTGTGAATGTTTGTAGAATGGCTTCTGTCTGTCTCAGGGATATTTTTAGCTTTTATTGTGCTGGGACGTTATTGTGGCGACAGACGATCACAGAACACGTGTTTTGGTCGACATCATCCTTCTTTTAACCAAAATAATTCCAGATAACTGATTTTTCTTTTCTTTTTGGCAACAAATCTGCATCTTCGGTGGTTTTCTCTTGTTCGTTGCTCATTTTGCAATCGTTGTTGTTGTTATGTGTTGTGCTGAGAAACGGATGTCCTCTGAGAATTGCATGCACCTCGCAAAACGCGCACCGCTTATAGTAGAGGGGTCCACGGAAATATACAATTTAAAACCCATACAATTCTTATTTGTTGGGCTTAACAGTCATTAGTAAAGTTCCGAAAGTAATTCTCAGTGGACACCTGTTTCTCGGCTTAACACCAGCAGCCAGCGACTCACTCCATGTGCAGAACATGTGCAGGGGTGTGGTTTCCTCCTCTCTGATTTTGATTGACAGCTGGCAGGGTAGTCTGATTGGCAACTGAGAACTGAGTCTGATTGGCAACTGAGTAAAGAACGAAGGTGATTGGTGGATGCAGAGTCACATGCAGTGTATCTCAGTCAGTTACCCTTGAAATTAACTGAGTTCAGTCGCCTCCGACATCGCAGGCTCTGCGATGTGACTGTTGCACACACATACATCGTGATGACGATACTCAAACGATATATCGTGCAGCCCTAGTAGTAAACCCATTGTGGTTGTCAGTTTCATAAGGACCAAAAATAACCTTTATTTTAGAGCATGAGGAACAGTGTTGCCACAGTTACTTTTAAAAAGCTATTTGATTACTGATTACAGACTACTCCTTTAAAAAGTAACTTAGTTACTTTACTGATTACTTGATTTTAAAAGTAGCTCAGTTAGATAACAAGTTTCTTTTTAAGTTACATTCAGCAGTCTCAACATATGTCAAAAAAAACACATAAAAAAAACATTAAAAAAAGTCTTTCTTGACTGACTGATATTCTAAATATGAAATCTTAAAAATATATATATATATATAAAATTAAGACAGTCTTTAAAACAGTGGCTGTTTTAAAGACGCGTTCTCAAGCTGTTCCAGCTTGAGAACGCGTACCTCTCTCCCTCCTTCATTGCTATTTATGTTCGTTCTGCTGCGGATGCTTTATGTGTGTGCACATGTATTACACCTGAGTTGTCCTTGTGCTCAAAACGTGACTTGACGCCTACGTGACTGATGTCACTCCCCCCAAACAAAAACAAATCTACCTCTTTTTTAAGGAAAATTAGAAAAAAAGGAACACACAGTGACTTGGACATGTAACTTAAATCTAATTACTGGTTTGGAAATAGGAGCATGTTAGATTATCCCTTACTGACTTTTTAGAGTAGCACATTACCAAGTAATGCATTGCTGGCATCACAGATAAGGAGAGGATTTGATTTATGAATATTTAAAGCAGTGGACAGATTGACTCAGAATGATGCAAAGTGTTCAAGTTCATGATAGTCAAGAAATAAGATGTTTACAAAATGGGTGTGCAGTTTCTAGGAGCCCACATTAAAATTGTTCTTCGATGCTGTTTAATGAACATAAAAGCAAAATCAAATCCCTAAATTTTCCAGTTTCTCCAGTTGATAAACCCAGTGGTATGGATTCACTGGATGTGGGTATTCAGACTGTGACATCCCTGTAACTCAGTAATCGTGTCTGATAATACCACTTATTTCCAGATCTTTTTTCACCCCTGCTATGACTCTCAACAATTTGGGAGTCTGAAATGTCAACACCGCTGTTTCCTGGCAGTGTCGTTGATGGCTTTGTCTATGAATATGATCTTTGTCAGTGTGTGTGTGTGCACATATGATGGCTGACCACAGTGCATCTGCTTGACTGCTCCATTTGATTGCTCACTCCAGTAGCACTCTGGGAAATGTTAATGGAGGGCAGTTAACGTCAGAAACATTCAACCACCATCTGCACTCGACCCAACATGGCTCTGATGGAGAGACAAATGAAAAAGGTGGAAAGTTTTACCAAATAAGGTTAAAGGAAGTCAAAGAAAGGGAAGAAAAGCATCCGTGTGTGTGTGTGTGTGTGTGTGTGTGTGTGTGTGTGTGTGTGTGCAAGCCCCCTGTCTCTGTGACTGAAGTGTGCACTGATGTGAAAAGCGTTTACGTCTCTGTGCGAAGAAGGTGTGAAGCATACAGACAGTCAGGTACATCTTGTCCAATAGCCCATCTACCACTTTGGTTACTGTATTGCTGTCACACTTATGGTTATCTCTCGCTCTCTCTCTCTCTTTCTCAGACACACACATACACACACACTATCGGCTCTGTCGCCTCCCTGAGCAGAGATTGCTGTGTGCTGCTGCTCACATTCAGTAAAGCACTGGGCCGAAAACAAACACACACACATACACATACACACAACCACACACACAGTGATTTATGGCCTCCAATACAGTCAATAAGAGCCATGGCCAAGATGAAGGACTTGCTAGTGGGACACACACACACGCACGCACGCACGCACACACGCACACACACACACACACACACACACACACACACACACACACTGCTGTCCATTAGCTAAGTGTACTGGAGTGAACTGTTTTCTAGGTTGGCCCTCTTTATTACATTCCTGTGTGAGGCCTCTGCAGCCTCATGTGAAAAAGTGAAGGCATACTCCACCTGTACACTGGATACTAGATGACATATATATGGAGAGGTGTGTAATTGCCAAGAGTAAAAGCATTACATCAATGCATGCCATGGTACATCGGTTAATACTGTATGCATTATAAAAGAGATACTACATATAAAAGCCTCCTGTAGTAATCATACTGTCGTCTTGCTGATGTTTATAATACAGCCAGTGCTTGTGTATGTCCATCAGAAATGTCATAATCTCCATTAAATATTTGTTTGAAACATAATTATGCAGTGTTGTGATTTTGGTATGTAAACTGCAATACTCTTAAACCTTTAAAATGAAAATGGGTGTTGTCTAACCCCTGGCTGCCCCTCTGGACATGCCCATAACTGGATGTGCTTATTGAGGCGAGGCAGAAAATATGGGGAGTAGAGAGACTGGGGGATAAGAGGTGGTAAAGGGTTGGGACAAGGAACCAGCAGGCAATGTGACCATGAGTATAGTTGTTCTATGTGGGGTGTAACGGATAAGATGTACACAGACCTGCACAAGTGGAGGGTAAGGGAAACCTTTGCCGTTCTGCTCTCTGGACTTGCAATACAAATATTAGCCTGTCAGTGGTGGAATAAACAACTTGTAGTGGACACAATTTGGTGATGCACAACTGCCCAGTCCAACTACATTTTAGCATGTTTCTAGGCTGCTGGCTGCTTCGCTCTCCCTCAATACTGGACCAGTTTCAGATACTGGTCTTCCCATCAGTCAAGCACACACAAACACATGGGAAAAAAGGGCCCAAGTTAAAAAATACCAAAGTTCCTCTTTAAATAGCATAAATCGACAATTTTACTCTAGGCCTTATTTTTTTTCTTATTCCCACTTTCCCTTCTCCTTGTATCCTTGTATCTATTTTTTCCTCCCACCTATCATCACTGATTTTTGTTTGCCTAATAAACACAGCAGTATCTCTTAGCCTGGAAATAACATACACCCTTTTTAAAGCCACACAAGCTGTGCTTTCACATAAAACAATGGACAATTAGAGTTAAGATGCTGAGCCTCTTGCTGGGCCATAAAACATGGATAACAATGATCAAACTGAAAACAAGAGGCCAAAAACACTTAAACTCCTCATCTGCTTTCAGCAAGTGTATCTCACTGGAAAGTTAATTCAAGAAGGAGTTTGAGCTTGGCCTCCAGCCCTGGAAACCCTGGATACCCTTGACAGAAGGCCAAGGCTATCCTTGGCTACCAGCTATCTCGACATATCCATCATTTCTTTTCCTTTTTGTTGTGAAACACTCAAGAGTCAAGCACCTTTGTTTGTCAAAGAAGGGCTAGGGAGTGAAAAAAGCTTTGCTGAAAGTAGTTTCACTACTTGCAACACATGGGCATTGAGTTCAGACCAAGACATGTACTGTAATTTAAATTTTAAATGTAAACTAAGCTGTGCCCGAGAACATTGTGGCACCGCTGAATGCAGCCCTCTCTATAAAGAATTAGTGTTATAGAAATGCCTTATTATCCTTGATAACTTATTCTCTCATATTGGTGTCCAATATCAATGATCCAATTGACACAATGAGAACAGTGAATGAGTCATTTGGATTAAAGCTTATGGAATAACCTTTAAAGTCCCTGACATGACTGTATTGAGAGATTTGAAGCTCTGCCTAAAAGCAGTGGTATCAATTATGATAACAGGCTTTCAGTAGTAGCAGTAGTAGTACACATGTCCATGGTTCTATCTGAAGTATAATTCAGCTCCACTTGTGACTGTCCTCGCCTTGAGGTAACCTTGTTAGTGTTGCAGTGTGATTGGACACACACTGGTTTCTCATGTGACACAGTAAGAGACACTCTACAGAGGCATACTGGCCTTGTGTGGGTGAGTGTGCAAGCGTGTGTATGTGCAAGCATGTGTGTGTGTGTGTGGGTGTGTGTGCGCGCACACGCAAATGTGTGTGTGTGTGAAGGGGTGAATGTGGAGAGGACTTTGTCAGAGTGTACTGCAGAGTGGATCAAGTTTTCCTCCTCTTAAACCAGATGGTGATGACTTGTCCTGAGAAGTCTGACCTACAGCTTATCCCCCTCATCAAACTGGCTTAACTAGAGAGGCTCACTGGAAACATGAGGCCTGGTCGTTGTCGTCGTCGAGTAACACAGGCCGACTGAAGATTAGCATACAAGCAAGTCTTCAGCCTCTCACTCTGCAGGTCAGATCTGTCTATTGTTGCTCCATTTCCGCAGAAACAGTGCATATGTAGTTGCATGTGTTATTTATCAAATCATTTTAGTCTGCATGGGACATTGCCTGTAGAGAACTCTTTCAATGAAAATTTGTATAATAGACATTTGGCAAGTTCGATGAATTTGTATTTTACAAAAACCTTAAAGGCCACATCATCACATAACATAATTCAAGTGTCTCAAATTTAAACATATTTTCTATGGTCATTTTAAGGTTAATTTCAAAGGCATTCTGTTGAACCTTGCTTCACGACTATTGTGACCAAATAAGATCATGCACATTATAAACAAGTGGTCATCATGTTGATCTGAATACTATCAGACTTCTCAGTAAACGGGCAGCATTCATCATACCCTCAAGGCTAAAGGTAGTTCCTACAATTTTTTACCATGTGTGAATCAATGCATTTCTCTGCATTGGGCACCAGAGGTATCACATGCATATTTACAGCTCAAGCTCCATGATAAGATTAAAGCAATTACAGTGCAGGTACCCTGTTTAAAGTCAAAAAAGTACTTTCAAAGGTGGAAAGACAATACAAACAGTTCTCAACTTCAAATGTACTATAGTAAAGTCAAACTCTTTATGGTGTCCTTTGCTTAAGTGTGTTTAAGCAGAGCATTCGATCTGATGTGCAGAGTACAAAAATCAAGCTTCACAACCAAACCCAAATTATCCAATGAAAGTGAAAACTCTGCACTAAAGTGGACTGTGGAATTATTCTATTGAGAAGAAAAAGGAGAGAGACTGATTTGATGTATCCCAATGTGTGTCAGCCGCTGACTCTGCCTTTCCCTGCGGCTGGGTTATCTATGCTGGGTAATGAACAGAGTTAAGATGAGATGAATGGATGTTCTGGATTCAGCACACACAGGCCTTATCATCTCTGAAGTAGGGAAGCAGCTGTCAGACAATGGCTACAACATACCATGTTCAGGAATGGACTCTGGATAAATCAACAGTAAGACTGTTTTGACTGTAATGTAGTGTTACAGGGATGCTCTTATTCTCATCCATATGTTCCCAATGTTACCATGAATCCTTGGTGGTGCCACTCTTACTGGCACTTTTATTTGTATCAAGTGGCTTTTACCAGATTACACTTTGTGCATCCTTGAAATTGAACAGCTAGTTTGAGGGCATTTCATGTCCAAAGCCAAAAAGCTAAGGGGCTGATATTTTCCAAAGAAACATGCCAAGGGTGGCTGAACACTTAGGAATGGCATCTTGTTGTATCGATAGTTGCTGCACACCAGTGTGTCTTTAATGTATAGGATTGTTGGCAGAGTATCAAGACATTTATCATATTGGCCTCACACCAGAGATGCCAGACTATCTGATGTAAAAAATTGTACCTTACATGATCTTACTCAATGAATGGCAGGGGAAAAGACTCAATTACTAATATATAGCTCTAGAAAGTCAAAACTTTGCAGAGCTGCTACTGTTAAGTCACATGTATTTAAGGAGCACATTTAAAAATGGCCCACATTGACCAAAGTGCTGTACAGCACAGGCAGACTGCATTAAAATCCACAAAAGAAAACAAAACATCATTACCTGACACCCAGGGGATTACACAATGTGAATAAAAACAAGAAGCCAACAGCAGCACCAAATATCTAGTTTCCTCGATGTCAATCAAATTAGCAACAGAAAACAACAGCTTTGTGTAGTTGCAGAATGCCCTGTTAACTTTAACCAAAGGTTAAGAAGAAAAAGGTTATTCAGTGATATAAAAGATGAATCTGTTCCTTAACTATTTGATAGTGTTCTAGTGTCAAAAATTATTTCAAAAAACCTAAGTAAATGGTATACTCATGTCAATAGATTCAAAAGACCCATGGTGGTGTGCATTATAAGGATATCAACTGTCTACTTCAGTCAGACTGCTGAAACTTTTTGAAGTAGTATTTTGATCCAAAGACTTTTGAGTCATCCTTTTTCGGGGAAAAAAAAACCCAAAACAAAACAAAAACAAATTTCTGAAACATACAAAAATAGAAAAGAACTAAAAATGTTGACCATGTAGAACTGTGAAGAACGGACACTTAGTTGATATTTGACAGAGTGTTTCACAGTAACAGAAGTTCTTGCCACAATGTTCCAGGTCTGATTCAGACCCTGCCAACACTGTCTTCCATTTCTCTCATTCTACAGCTTCCTCTTTCCAAATGTGTGCCCAGTTGCATCCAAATCTTGTGAGGAGTTTCTTGACATTTATCACAAGTGAGATAATAGGTTTTTGTATTAAACCCCTGTTTGTGATTAGATTACTACAAAATAGGTGACATTTTGTTGAAAAAATATGAAGTTTAAGTTTGTAACATTAGCATGCTTCCCTCAATGCACCATTGAGGGAAGCATGCTAATGTACTGCATTAGTAAATGCACTGCCCTCCTATAGGATGAATAGCTATGATGAAAAAGCAAAAAAAAAAAAATGTTTTCATAAAATGGGACCAGCATTCCCCAAAATGAAACTGAACTGAAGTGTGCTGTTATGAGACCCTAAGAGAGAGAGAGAGAAAGAGAGAGCGATAGAAAGAAAGAGAGAGAGAGAGAGAGAGAGAGAGAGGGAGGGTGTTCAGTAAGGGCTCATTAATTCGGTAGATGTAATCAGTAGGAGGGAGTGAGACATTTTGCCATCGATTAATGAGCAGCTCGGGGTCATATGGTGGTGAAGCTGTACTGTATGTGAGCTGACTGAACTCTGCTGTCAGCTGTGAGACTCTGATGTAACAATCAATTGAAAAGAAATACAATAGAAAATGTAGTGTGGAATAGTAAATAATAGAAAAGTAACACAAAAAAAACAAAAGTAGTCATATGTCAGCCCCACTTTGAGCTCCCTCCAGAAGCTTCTAAACCCCATCTCTAAAGCTAAGCCTGGACACCTTCCTGGAGAGACTCTTGCACCCCCTTGTATTGGCAGTCTTATGACCCACAGCTCATGGCCATTGGTGAGGGTGGGAACAGAGATCGACTGGTAAATCTTTGCCTCCTAGCTCAGCTCCTTCTCCACCACAATGGCCCAGCACTATATCTGCGGTATTGCTGACTTTGTACCAATTCACTTGTAAATTTTATGATCCATGTTACCCCCAAGATACTTGAATTCCTTCACTTAGGGCAAAGACTCACTCCCCACCCAAAGAAAGCAATCCACTGTTTTCCAGCAGAGAACCATGGCCTTGGATTTAGAGATGATGATTCTCATCCCAGCTGCTTTACATCCGGCCATAAACCTGCTGGAGATCACAGCCTGAAGAAACCAACTGAACCACTTCCTAAACCATAGACACTCCAACCCCCGGCTACACCTTGAGATTCTGTCTGTGAGAATCACAAACTGAATCCAACATGCACTGAGAAGTTAGACACATTCCTGCATTACCCAAAGATTTAAATGCCATCTGTTGAATATTTGAACTTCAAATGTTTATGGAAACTGGCTGGCGTTATCATGACAAAAAAACTGGCAAAATCACTTTGTTTTACAAGCAACAGTGTTTATCTGCTGACATAAAGTGGTTTGGATATCCATTTACCATAGATGTCACTGCTCCAGGTAACCAAGCCAAAGGACATCGCTCTCCCCACCCATTGATTACATGTTGAGGCAACAGCAAAGAAATGTCAATTGTTTCTATTTTCCATCTCCTTGCATATGACTTCCAGTTCAGATTTATATTGTATTATGCAAGGAAAAATCTCATTCTGCTTCCTTAAAGTGGCTCATGTACAAATCTCTCTACCTGCGGGAGAAAATTCGGCAAAGACTGTTTTTGTCGGCACGCTGTAAAGTGATTCATCATAACCCAACCTGCGGGCATTGTGACAGGCAGTAGATGTGATAGGTTTATCGATAAAGAAAATCAACAACCTGATGGTCTGGTTGCTTTTTGTATACCAGCATCATTGTTATATTGTATGCCAAATGTGAACCGTGTAGGACTCAATTGAAGCTTCTAGAAAGTACTGGGTCCAGTCCTTTTCCAGGCTCTCAGATGTAAAAGAGATGGCTGTTCTGCCATGACTGTAACTGCTTTGTGAACAGAGTGAGAGGATCATATGTGTAAGACAGTTAAGTTTTATTTTGATAAAGTAAGAATCTTTTGTTTTTCTTTTTAACCTTAGACTGCCACTGTTACTTTGATTTGGATGTAAAGTTGTACTTCTGTTAGTCGCCCCAAAAAGTACCCTGACTGAGTGACGCCCTTTAAACTTTTTCAGTCCTAAGGTGAGCGCAGTTTCAATGACAAATACATTAATAAAAAAGTTACGGTTCAGGCAGTTAGAACCAAAACAATTAGAGGTGAGGAGTCACATTCAAAAGGGCATTTATTTAGTATGCAATCACATTGCTTAAGACATAAAATGTATTTATTTATTTATTTTTTTAAGTGATAACACTGACAACAGTTTGTTTTTGCTGTCATAGATTGGCACCTTAGTATGCAAATCAATACAGCAAAACATAGCTTGAAGGTTTGTTACCAACTATCTCAGCAAATCTGTGAACCAGCCTGAAATGAAGTTGTGAACAAGTAACTTAGCACCAAGATCTAAATTGAATAAAAAATGAGGCTAAACTTGAGACTTGAGAGTTACAGCACAATAACAATAAGAACTAGGACCCCGTTGGGGCACTGGCGGGCCCGAGCCTTGTCGGATGGAGCTTTGGATGGAGCTTCATGGTTGTCTTTTGGAGAAATGACCAGTCAAGTTGTGTTTGAAATTTGATTTTTTTTTCAGGGGCAAAAGGAGCCTCTGCATTCTTGTCAAATATGTAAATAGCATGTTTTTGCAGGTGCTAAAAACCAGACTCTGAGTGTGTGTGTGTGTGTGTGTGTGTGTGTGTGTGTGTGTGTGTGTGTGCGTGTGTGTGTGTCTGTGTGTGCGTTCAAGTCACATGACATATTTAACCGGATGTAGCTGCAAGACGGAGCCTCGTTGACTCTCCGTTTCAACTTATCTCAAAAGTGAGGACCTCAACCTATATACCAGTTTTTAAATTGTGTTGATAGGCCAAATAAAACCAGAGTTATGATAAATTATGTCCGCGATACTTTTTTTCTGCTTATTTTGATCACGTTCGGCGCTCGATCGCGCTGTATGAGACAGGAAAACATAGCATGCAGACATTAGCGACAGGTCTTACAGGCGGAAAAGGCTTGCCAAAAGAAAAAAAAAACACACCACAACATCTCTCCTATTGGTGGAAAACTTCACCACAACAACCAATCCAAAATTATATGGTGACTGATTGACAAGGGGAGGGCGCTTACGTTCTTCCTGCAACATGAGAAGGGAGGGAGGGACTCTCAGCAGGGATGCAGTCTGGGACACGTAGTTGCAAACCTAGCGACTTTGTTGTTAGATTCAATGACTTTTCAGACCCCCTAACGACTTTTTTTTAGAAAGAAAGGGACTTTTATCGACTTCTTCTGGAGTTTAGAGACTCTGACATGAAGCAGGCTTTCCTTACTGAGGAGTTAGCAACGCTGCTAAGGGTGCAGAGCCACACATGCGCTCAGAGCTCTGCATGGGAGACTGAAGCTGACAGAGCTGCAGCAGTTAGCAGGTTTCACCCTCAGAGACCACCAGGGGTTCATGTTGAGGCATTTTTAATTTTTTTTTTTTTGTGTGCCATAGACACTGTCAGCACAATCTGCAGTTACACTAACAAAAATGCTGCAAAAAACAAAGAATTATGGAAAAATTACACATGGACTGACATAGAGGAGGATCTACACAAGTTTTTTACATCATGTTTTACATCATGCATCATTTACATCATGTTTTTTTGTAGTGGCATAAATAAAAAGTGACATTTGTGAGACTATACAGTGTTTTGTAAATAATTTTGCAAAGAACGCCTGGGCCATTGCCTGCATTTTGATGTAAATAGAGGTAAATTACTATGTTCTTTGTTAAAAATTTGCATATGTTTTGAAGTTTACAATTTTTATTTGAAGTTTAAGTTTTAAAAACAGTTCATCACACATATTTGTGGTTTAATTTCACATTAATTTCCATATTGTATAAATGACTGGAAAAAACTTGAGCCCCTGCCCCTGTATAATCATGTGCACGTCCCTGTTCTAGCTCCAAGGTGAATCTTCACTGCTCATGTTCTCCTCAGAAATAGTCACCTCACTCCCCTCAGGTTACTGTACACATGCACCAACTATCTGCTTCAGGTTTGAAATGGAGCTTCATGGTTGTCTTTTGGAGAAATGAACAGTCAAGTTGTGTTTGAAATTTGATTTTTTTCAGGGGCAAAAGGAAGCCTCTGCATTCTTGTCAAATATGTAAACAGCATGTTTTTGCAGGTGCTAAAAAACAGACTCTGAGTGTGTGTGTGTGTCTGTGTGTGTGTGTGTCTGTGTGTGTGTGTATGTTGGCGTGTGTGTATATGTGTGTGTATCCTGCAGTACTCTGTACTCCTGCAGTGGCCAAAAAAACCTTTTAAGAATGTGGATTTTTGGGTCATCTTTGGCGCCCCCTAGAACTGCAGTACTCTGTACTCCTGCAGTGGCCAAAATGACTTTTAAGAATGTGGATTTTTGGGTCATCTTTGGCGCCCCCTAGAACGTAAACCGTGGGGTGCAGCGTCATGATTTTTACAACTTTGAATGGGCATGGGGTGTAGATTGCCCTGAGCAAATTTGGTATCGGTGGGACGAAAGCCTTAGGAGGAGATAGCCACATTCCAATGTGTGCGAATCGGCAAAAAATGCAAAATAGCCCTTTAACCGTACATTATAAAGATACGCGCTCTTTGACTTTTTCGTAGATCTAATTGAGATACACATGATTGTCAATTTTTGTGTCAATATGACAAAGCGTTCAGGCGTGACACTCAACAATGTGTATTTTCATGTAAGGGGACAAGAAAAAATGGACTTTTTTCTCCTACCATGGGGGGCGCTCTTTTGGGGAGTAAAAATTCCTTCACAAATGTGTTGATGGCTGGACATTGCATCATCCTAGAGAACTTGGAGGCCAGTGAGGACAAAAATAAAAAGTTATAAAACATTTAAGAATGTGGATTTTTGGGTTATTTTTGGCGCCCCCTAGAACCTAAACCATGGGGTGCAGCATCATGATTTGAATAACTTTTAATGGCCATGGGGTGTAGATTGGCCTGAGCAAATGTGGTGCCGGTGGAACGAAAGCCTTCGGAGGAGTTAGCGAAATTCCAATGTGTGCGTATCGGCAAAAAATGCGGAATAACCCTTTAACTGTACATTTGACAGATACGCGCGCATGGACTTTTTTGTAGATCTTATTGAGTTACATGTGTGTGTCAATTTTTGTGTCATTTTGACAAAGCGTATAGGCGTGACACTCAAGAATGTGTATTTTCACCTTAGGGGACAAGAAAAAATGGACTTTTTTCTCCTGCCATGGGGGGGCGCTCTTTTGGGGAGTAAAAATTCCTTCACAAATGTGTTGATGGCTGGACATTGCATCATCCTAGAAAACTTGGAGGCCAGTGAGGACAAAAATAAAAAGTTATAAGACTTTTAAATATGTGGATTTTAGTGTTATCTTTGGCGCCCCCTAGAACCTAAACCTTGGGGTGCAGCGTCATGATTTGAATAACTTTTAATGGCCACGGGGTGTAGATTGGCCTGAGCAAATGTGGTGCCGGTGGAACGAAAGCCTTCGGAGGAGTTAGCGAAATTCCAATGTGTGCGGATCGGCAAAAAATGCGAAATAACCCTTTGACCGTACATTTGACAGATACGGCCGCACTGACTTTTTTGTAGATCTTATTGAGATACATATGTGTGTCAATTTTTGTGTCAATATGACAAAGCGTACAGGCGTGACAGTCAATAGTGTGAATTTCCACCTTAGGGGGCGCTATGGAGCCATTTTGCATTTTATTGTTTGGGCGACTTCAGAATATCGAATTTTTCACCAGGCCCGGTCGTCCTGCCAAATTTCATGAGTTTTCGCCAGTGGGAAGTGGGCCATTTTCCAGTTCAAAGGGGAGGAAAAAGAAGAAACTAGGGCCCCGTTGGGGCACTGGCGGGCCCGAGCTGTGTCACCCCCCCCCCCCCCCCCCCCAACGCGCTGCCTCCCCGTCCCATTCGCGTCCTCTGGCCATCGTCCTCTCTGGTAACGCCCATCACTGCAAAGACCCTTTCCTTCATCGGCGTTTGCTGTTCTTCCTGCCAGTGCGTGTTGCTTTCACTTACACTTGCCACAGCCAGCCTCGTGAGTGCCTAGCCTATTGGATATCACTGTCACCTACACAGGACAGTCATTACCTTTCTATTAATACTTTGTTTTTTAATTTCACATTAATTTCCATATTGTATAAACGACTGGAAAAAACTTGAGCCCCTGCCCCTGTATAATCATGTGCACGTCCCTGTTCTCGCTCCAAGGTGAATCTTCACTGCTCATGTTCTCCTCAGAAGCAGTCACCTCACTCCCCTCAGGTTACTGTACACATGCACCAACTGCCTGCTTCAGGTTTGGATGGAGCTTCATGGTTGTCTTTTGGAGAAATGAGCAGTCAAGTTGTGTTAGAAATTTGATTTTTTTCAGGGGCAAAAGGAAGCCTCTGCATTGTTGTCAAATATGTAAATAGCATGTTTTTGCAGGTGCTAAAAAACAGACTCTGAGTGTGTGTGTGTGTGTGTGTGTGTGTGTGTGTGTGTGTGTGTGTGTGTGTGTGTGTCTGTGTGTGTGTGTGTCTGTGTGTGTGTATCCTGCAGTACTCTGTACTCCTGCAGTGGCCAAAACGACTTTTAAGAATGTGGATATTTGGGTCATCTTTGGCGCCCCCTAGAACGTAAACCATGGGGTGCAGCGGCATGATTTTTACAACTTTGAATGGCCATGGGGTGTAGATTGGCCTGAGCAAATTTGATGTCAGTGGGACGAAAGCCTTAGGAGGAGTTAGCCACATTCCAATGTGTGCGAATCGGCAAAAAATGCAAAATAGCCCTTTAGCCGTACATTTTACAGATACGCGCCCATTGACTTTTTCGTAGATCTTATTCAGATACACGTGTGTGTCAAATTTTTTGTCAATACGACAAAGGGTACAGGCGTGACACTCAACAATGTGTATTTTCACCTTAGGGGACAAGAAAAAATGGACTTTTTTGTCCTGCCATGGGGGGGCGCTCTTTTGGGGAGTAAAAATTCCTTCACAAATGTGTTGATGGCTGGACATTGCATCATCCTAGAAAACTTGGAGGCCAGTGAGGACAAAAAAAAAAAATTATAAAACTTTTAAGAATGTGGATTTTTGGGTTATTTTTGGCGCCCCCTAGAACCTAAACCATGGGGTGCAGCATTATGATTTGTACAACTTTTAATGGCCATGGAGTGTAGATTGGCCTGAGCAAATGTGGTGCCGGTGGAACGAAAGCCTTCGGAGGAGTTAGCGAAATTCCAATGTGTGCGGATCTGCAAAAAATGCAAAATAACCCTTTAACCGTACATTTGACAGATACGCCCGCACTGACTTTTTTGTAGATCTTATTGAGATACATGTGTGTGTCAATTTTTGTGTCAATATGACAAAGCGTACAGGCGTGACAGTCAATTGTGTGAATTTTCACCTTAGGGGGCGCTATGGAGCCATTTTGCATTTTATTGTTTGGACGACTTCAGAATATCGAATTTTTCACCAGGCCCGGTCGTCCTGCCAAATTTCCTGAGTTTTCGCCAGTGGGAAGTGGGCCATTTTCCAGTTTAAAGCGGAGGAAAAATAATAATACTAGGGCCCCGTTGGGGCACTGGCGGGCCCGAGCCATGTCGCACCGCCCCCAGCGCGACCGCCTCCCCCTCCTGATCGCGTCACACTCAAGGTCGAAAGATGGTGTGTGCACTTGTCTGTGGTCATTTACCGTTATAATGAATGGGAGGCGCAGTTTCTACCAAAACGCTCGCTGCAGAAAAACTCCATGTCCTATTTGAAAAACGTCTGGACCATGAGTGAGGGCAGAAACACAGCTAGTATATATCCAAATGGCAAGTTGCTCCTCCTTTCGGTTTTGCCGAAGAGAGCGAAGGGGAGTCATGATTTTTACAACTTTGAATGGCCATGGAATGTAGATCTGCTTGAGCAAATTTGGTTTCGGTGGGACGAAAGCCTTAGGAGGAGTTAGCGAAATTCCAATGTGTGCGGATCGGGAAAAAATGCGAAATAGCCCTTTGACTGTACATTTTACAGATGCGTGCACATTGACTTTTTCGTAGATCTTATTGAGATACACGTGTGTGTCAAATTTTGTGTCATTTTGACAAAGTGTATAGGAGTGACACTCAACAATGTGTTTTTTCACCTTAGGGGACAAGAAAAAATTGACTTTTTTCTCCTGCCATGGGGGGCGCTCTTTTCGAGAGTAAAAATTCCTTTACAAATGTGTTGATGGCTGGACATTGCATCATCCTAGAAAACTTGGAGGCCAGTGAGGACAAAAATAAAAAGTTATAAGACTATTAAGAATGTGGATTTTAGGGTCATCTTTGGCGCCCCTTAGAACGTAAACCGTGGGGTGCAGCGTCATGATTTTTACAACTTTGAATGGCCATGGGATGTAGATCTGCTTGAGCAAATTTGGTGTTGGTGGGACGAAAGCCTTAGGAGGAGTTAGCGAAATTCCAATGTGTGCGGATCGGGAAAAAATGCGAAATAGCCCTTTGACTGTACATTTTACAGATGCGTGCACATTGACTTTTTCGTAGATCTTATTGAGATACACGTGTGTGTCAAATTTTGTGTCATTTTGACAAAGTGTATAGGAGTGACACTCAACAATG